ACGTCGCCCCAGAAACCCTTCCTGTTCCTCAGGAAGAGCGGGTCACTCACCCCACCTGTACCACCTGAGGCTCCTCTTCGTCCGCTGGCTGGTGGTCCTCCACCAGGGTCTCGCCCAGATGCCAGGCCTTTGGTGGCCCATCGGGCTGGAGTTCCTTCGAATCGATGGCGGAGCCTGATGCCATGCTTCTTCATTTCCTGGAGCTTTGGGGAAACTGGCCCCTGATTCATTTTCTCTCCAGTCCCGTGGCTGGTAAGGTGAGCAGCTGCACTGGAAGGCCCGCTCCCCAGGACACAGCTGTGCACCCCGCGACGACCTGGAGCCCCTCCTCTGCACGGGTTTCAGGACCGGCACCCGCCAGCCACAGAGCACGGGCGTGGCTCGGCCGCATCGAACCAAGCGCTTGCAGTAGCTCGTGAACCCTTTCTCTTCGGCAGTCTGCCGCAGCAGCCCTCCGATCCCGCTCACCTGGGCCTGGATGGAGTGGGACATTCTGCAGTGCAGTCTGTAAATTCCGTTTTTAAGCCAGCATGAGCCAAGTATAACAGCGAGCTGCCCAGACCTGCTTAAAGAGGACAAACCCCAGCTAAGCGCATGAATAACACCCCGTCGCTTTTATCTCATAGTACTCGGCTGGGGCACCAAATGAACGAAAGAGCCCATCACAGGTTCTCATTGTTATCTCCTTAAGTCCGTTAAATATGCAGGAGAGAAAAAGCCTTCCCATCTTGGGTCTGGTTTAAACTATCAGGGAACAGCCCTTGCCGGTTTTGCTCAGCGGTTAGAGCATCGGCCTGCGGTCCTGAGAGACCCGGGTTCGGTTCCCGCTAAGGGCATGTACCGCGGTTGCAGTTTGTCCCCGGCCCTGGTCGGTTGTGCGGGTGGCAGCCACTCGATGTGTCCCTTCACATCGATGTTTCTCTCTCTCTCTGTTCCTCTCTCTCCCTCCCACTCTACCTGAACAAAAAATGGAAAAATGTCCCCGGGTGAGGATAAAAAAAAATAATAATAAAAATAAACTATCAGGGAACAGATTAGAGTTCATCAATGCCCTGAACTCCAAAACCCCAGCCGGAAGGCTCTCAACAGAAGCCACAGGTCACAGGTGGGATCTGGAAATCCAAGCGGACACTGCCGCGCCCCCAATGCGGGAACACCGGTCGCCTAACCTGTAACTCCCGAATCTGGATCAGAAGATAAATCTCCACCCGGGACAGAAAGCCGGTGGACTCCAAGCAAAATTGCAAAGGTCGCTGGCGGGCGCTCCGGAAATCGCCCGGGTCCCAGGCCACAAGGCGAGGCTGCGAAGTTGCTCCTCGCAAGTCCCAAGGAGCTCATCAATTATTCATGCGACTGGATAAACAGGGATTTTATCTGGTAGCGTGAATCAAGAGATAAAACCTCCATTTCAAGAGGGAGGGTGGAGACTAAACCCTGAATGTTCATTGTAAACTGAAAAAAAAAGAAAAGAAAAGAAGATGAGGAAGAAGAAGTAGGAAAGAAACATAAGTGAGGTCTCTGCTCAGGTTGTGCCCTGAGCTCACCTGCCCCTCAGACTGTGCACCAAGCTCCCCTATGGATGAAATGAACCAGCCACACATGGACACATGGTAGGAGAAGGTGGGACTGGACCACGCCATGGGTCCAGGCACAGAGACCCGAGGGGAGGGCAGGAGGCAGGAATTCCGACACCAGTGCCGCCCAACCACTGCTTGGCCGTGTTCCCCCTTGCTGAGCCTCACATTCTCCACATTCAGGAAGGGGAGTCAAAGGTTCCCTTTCATTTTGCTCATCTCTTTGGACCTCAGGTAGAAAGTTGCAGTATTGCCGAGGTCATGTGTGCCAACCACCTCAGTGCATGACCCGCCTTTGTCGTATTTTACCCTTCGTCCCCTCCCCTAAATCCCTGGGCCCACGTGCCCCCTTCCCTCCTAAAGGCATCCACTCACGGGTCTGATGGGCATGCTACACACATCGGAAAACATTCGGTCTGCGTGTGCCGGCCCCAAGGGAACACAGCCCCATGAGTGAAGGAGGTTGCAACCCCCTGCAGAGCTGCGCTCGGCACGGGTCCTGGGCACATAGGAGCCAAGGCCCATGTCGGGGCTCACCAGGAATGGGAATGGCTGCTGCCTTACCAGGGACACCCCCACCCCAGATCCTTGTATCACCTCCCAAGGTCTTCCCCCAAACCCTCTGAGAATTCTCTTTCTAGATGAGCAAAAAGGCTGAGAGGTGGCCCGAAGTTACACACCTCATGAGTGACAGAACCCAGATGACCCCTGCGGCCGGACACCCAAAGCCTTGTCCCCTGGGCCGGGCAGCCCCTGCACCCCTGGCATCGACAGAAGCCCTCTCCCACACTGCACTTGCTTACTTTTCAAGTAAAACGGACAGAGCCAACAGTGTTGCTGCAGTCCACCTGCCCCGGCCTGGCCAGAACACTCCCAGCCCCATTGATTCAGGACAGAGGCCACTGTCTAGGTGTCGGACAGACGGAGCTATGGGTGCCCAGACGCGGCTGCTCATCCAGTCACCCCACAACCCACCACAAGCAGCCCTGACATCAGTTAGAGAGGCGGGGCTGGGGTCCCAGAGATTTCAAAAGAAAACCTCCCAGACAAGCGAGCCTGGTGACGTAATAATAGGTGTTTGTCCGTCACTCAGCCACGAGTCGACGCCCCTGCCCATGTTGGGCTCTGTGGCTATTCACATGGGAACACATGGCCCCACTTTTGTGGGGTGTCCTTGCGTACAGGAACAGTGATGTATTTCCACAGCTTGGGACTCGTAATCCAAGGGTGAGTTAATACATTAATGAATTCTTACTAATAAATTAATAAATGTGAGGATAAATCCAACAAACCATTCAGCTTAGACACCACCCAGAATGACAATCGTGACAACTGAAATGTTAGTCATTCCACCTATCCATCCATCCATCCATCCATTCATCCATCCACCCCTCTATCCTCCATCCATCCATCCATCCATCCATCTATCCATCCATCTGTCCATACATACATACATACATACATCTATATATCCACTTATTCATTCATCCATCCATGCATGCACCTATTCATCCATCCCCCCACCCATTCATCCATCCATCCCTCTATCCCCCATCTATCCATCCATACATCCATCCATACATACATAAATACATACATCTATTCATCCATCCATCTACCCATCCATCCATCCATCCATCCATCCCTCTCCATCCACCCATCTAACCATCCACTCACTCATTCATCTGTCCATCCATCCCTCTATCCACCTATCCATCCCTCTATCCACCTATCCATCCCTCTATCCACCTATCCATTCATCCATCCATCCATCCCTCTCCATCCACCCATCTACCCATCCAACCATCCACCCACTCATTCATCTGTCCATCCATTCCTCTATCCACCTATCCATCCCTCTATCCACCTATCCATCCCTCTATCCATCCATCCATCCATCCATCCATCCACCCACCCACCCACCCACCCACCTATCCATCCTCCTACCATTCATCCACCTACCCACCCAGGTGAGCCCTGGGTGCGGCCCCCAGTCCCGCCCCGGCAAGTGGCTGAGTGGTAGCGGTAGGATCCCTCATCCATCCTTCCACCCAAAGCACATTCATGGAACACCTATATGCCAGTGATGGGTTAAGCCCTCGAATGACCTGCCCCCTCCACACACACACAACATCCTGATGGAGCAAGAAGACTGAGAAGGTGTGAGGATTGTGGGGGGCAGTTTCAGGGCAGCCTAGGGCATTTCACAACCTGCCTCCCCCAGGGGCAGGTGCAGAAGAAGCCACCCGGGACCCAGGCCATTTAGAGTCAGGCACAGGAGCCAGACTTTCGAGCCTCGGACCGGTTCTCACCCGGGCTCCATCTCACACCAGCTGTGTGTCTCAGGGCCTGAGAAGGCTGCTCCTGCACCCAACGCGGGCACTGTCTTCTCAACCCTACGCGTAGCCAGGCATCCCCCCATTTTACAGAGAAGGAAACAGACTGGAGTAGTTGCAGGGCCAGGACTAGGGTGAGGCAAGTGGCGCACCAAGAGCTCTAAACGGAAGGGGTGCTCGGGGTCGGGCACGCGCCCTGCACCCGTGAGTGAGCCCTGGCGGCAGCCCGTCCCGCCCCGGCGAGTGGCTGAGTGGTGGCGGTAGGATCCAAGGTCGAGGCTGCCGAGGGGGTCGGTGCTCGGCCCGCGTGGCCGCGTTCATTCAGTCGCGGCGTCTGTTTGCCGGTGCGTGCGCTCTGGTGGTCTGTCTGCTCGCTCCTTCCTTTGTTCGCCACTATGTGTGAGCCGGGCACACAGGGCCCGTGCGAGGCTGGCGCCGTGGCTGTTACCGCGGGCACACCTGGGCGCCAGTTACTCCTGGAAGGCAGGAAGTTTCCCTGCCTCAGTTTCCCCGTCTCGGGGACGGGAGAGAGGGTCTGGTCGACTCCACCCGGCCAGCCTGACGCTTCGCAGGTGGGACTAGTCACGGGGTGAGGGGGGGTGGGGGGGTCCATCCCGCTCCGGCCCGTCCATCTTTCACCCGGAGCAGCCCACCCTCCCACCCGCGAAGCCAGCTGGCTGTTTATTTGGTTATTGGATAACCAGGCCTGGGCACCGTTTCTTTGATCAGACAGCCCTGATAACTAGCAGAGGAAGCAGACCGTTTTATAGCAATATTCCGTGGCCGATCTTATCTTCCCTGGTGCTCCTACCAGGGACAGGAATGAGGAGGTGGAAGTGGGGAGGGGAGGGGAGGGGAGAAAGAGGCTCTACTCTGCAAGGATTTCCTATACTGCCCCCCCACTGTGGGGGAGTGTGGGGTGCGAGGTAAACACAGAGGTGGAGGCTGGCCTCCCCTCCCCATCACCCACATCTGGCCCCCGCCACCTCCCCCCGCAGGCAGTGCTCGGCCCAGAAAAGCCCACCCGGTGTGCCCCTCCCCTGCAGCTCTGACCACCTGGGGCGCCCGCTCTGGGGGTCAGGATTCCGTGATGCCCATGGACCTGAGTCACGGATGGCAGACCGGGCTCCAGAAAGGACTGGCTTCTCCTCCAAACCACCTCACGATCACCACCGTTTCCAACGTTCTCGGGTGACCGTTCTGAATGTAAGAAAGGGGTCAGGAGCTGCAGAGCTGGTTTTGGTTTGATTTTTTGTTTGTTTGTTTGTTAAAAATAAATGTACATTGCCCTGCCTGGTGTGGCTCAGCAGTTAGTGTTGGCCCTTGCACCGCAGGGTCTAGGGTTCAATTCCAGTCACGGGCACGTACCTGGGTTGCAGGCTCCATCCCTGGCCCCAGTGGGGGACATGCAGGAGGCCACCAATCGATGTGTCTTTCTCACATCAATGTTTCTCTCTCTCTTTCTGTCTCTCTCCCTCCTTTCTTCTCTCTCTAAAAATCAATGAAAAAAAAATATCCTCAGGTGAAGATGAGCAAAACAAATAAATAAAAATAAGTTCTGTGTGAAACCAATAAGCACATTTGAGCTCAGGTCCCTTCTTCCTTATGACAAGATGAGAGGCTTGTTCAAGCTTCGTTCCTTCCCTGTGCTTTGTCATGGTCTCCGGAGTGGGCGGCGTTGCCTCGGAACACCTGCTGCTTACCTGCCCGCACGTGGGTTCCCTCCGCTGCAGGAGGAAGGGCTGCACCGGGGGCCTCCAACGCCTCAGCCAGCTCTGCCCACTCTCCCCAGGGTCACCTCCATGAGGGTGGCGGTGGGCGGGTGGCCCCTTCCGTGACTCTGCCTCATGCTTAGCCACGAAAAGGATGGCTCTGCTTCTCCGTCATCCCCACGCCTCTTCCAGGAGAGGCTGTTACTACAGAACTGCCTTTTTCCGCAACAGCTTCAGATTCAGCACCGAGTGGCAGCACGGTGAGATGGGGCCCCCCCAAGGAGACGCAGAGCATCTTGGTCCCACGCGGGGCCTGGGGAGCTGTGCCACCTTCCAGCTGTGTCACATGGGGCCAGCAAGTCCTACTTCTCAGGCTGCTCGGTTGTAAAGGAGCGGGTCCGACCTCTGGCCCCACCAGGGTCTCACAGTTCCCAGCAACTTCTCTGGTTTCTAAGTGGGTACAACAGGCCGTGATACTTTGTAGCGACGCTCCCACTCCCCAGCAGGACTGAGTTCTGAAAGGACCGAACTGTGGCGCACCTCAGATGTCCCTGTGGCCTCCCCGCACCCGGTAACACGCAGACCCGCAGCCGGCGGCCTGGGACCCCACGCGCCGCATTCAGGGGCCGAGAGCGCCTCAGCTGCGCACAGACCAGCGCGCAGTCGTTGGAACCGTCCCGAACTGTAAAATGTGCGAATTTAAACACACGATTGCCACGGACAATCACAATTATGCGATTCTAACTATTTACCTTGTGCCCCGGCCGGCTTGGCACATCAGGTAGAGCATCGGACCAAAGAGCTGAGGGTTTGATTCTGGTCAGGGGCACGAAGGGGTCATGTGGGAGGCAACCAACCGGTGTGTCTCTCTCCCATCGATGTTTCTCTCCCTCCCTCCCTCTCTCTCTCTGAAAATCAATGGGAAAACATCCTCAGGTGAGGACTAAGAGAATAAATAAAATAAGTATTTACCCCGTGCCACGCTCCCCCACCGGGAAAGCCACCGCTGTCCTGAGAAGCGAGTAGGGCACATTCTCCACTTTCTCTCCGGCAGGGGAGCTGGTCCGGTTCCGTGTCCACCTCCGGCCTCGTGCTGTCCCCAGCAGTCCACAGACCAGGGAAAGTCACCTTCAGGAAGGGACTGATCTTTCCTCTCACATCCATCTGGGGAAGGTCACTTGGTGGCCCTGGGTTGGAGTTTCTGGGGTCCCTGGGAGCCTCAGCCAAGCTTCTCATAAGGAATCAAAAGGTGGGGTGCTGTCTCCCGACCCCCAGAGGCAAGCAGCCCCTACACATGGGCAGATGGATCTATAAACCCTTCAGAGACAGGCTGACAGCTTGGATGTGTGCCCTGGGCACAGACCTGTCCCCAACCTCCAAGCCCTCAGCAAGGGGACAATCTCCATCTCTCTCTCTTCTCTTCTTCCCTCTCTTACTTCCTCTTTTCTGTTCTCTCTCCTCTTTCTGTCTGTCTTCCTTACTTTCCGTGTCTCTCCGCTTTTTTACTTTCTCTTTCCTTTTTTCTCTTTCTATCCACCTCTCTCTCTCTCTCTGCCCCCCCCCCTCCGTTAATGGCAACACAATGAAACCAGACACCAGGATCTACCATCCCCAGCCCCCACCCTCACCCCCCACAGCTCCCCTTCAGTCAGCTAGATGGTCCCTGCAGGTAGAAACAATTCAGTTAATTTTTTTCCCAATCCAAATGATTCTTCCTCATCTTCATTCGTAAATTCAGTAGCTCTGGAGGTCCTTCTTCAAACCTTTCTCCAAGCTTGCCTACCCAGGGCCTGGGGTGGGGGCTGGAGGTGACTGGTTTGGGGCATCCTGTCTGACCTCCCCCTCCACGCAGCCGCCTCTGAGCTATCACCCTAAACTGACTCACTCAGATGGGAACTGGGGAGGGAGTGGCCGGAGGAGGAGTTGGGGCGCGGGAGGGGGGGTACCCGCCCTGGTCAGCTCTATACTCTGCCTGGATGCTCTTTGGAGCCCAGAGGAGCTAATTACAGAGCGGCTGCTGGCTGGGCTGCTGGGCGCCCCAGGTTGGCCAGTTTTACTGAGTCGGTCGCCAGGCTCCAAGTGGACGGGACTTTTCCAAGAGTATCTGAGTAGAAACTTCTGGGGTCTGGAGACCCAGGGGGACCCAGAAGAGCTTCCGCCCCACCGACCCCGCCCTTGTCCTTCCAGGACCAGCCTGGCTAGGGGTGCGCTTTGGCGACAGAAGCGCACCGCTCGCTCCGGCGTGACCAGGGCGAGAACTGAGGGAGGCCTCCCGGCTCACTGCGAAGACGCTGGGGGAGGCGAGGGGCAGGGGACCCGCGGGGTCGCCTGGGGCGCCAGAGGGCTGGGCACGCCGCGGGTGCGCGCAACGCCGGGGGCGTCCCCACCTCTTCTGGCGGTTGGACCTATGAGTGCGCAGCTCCTCTTACAACTCTCGACAGCCGGGAGGGTGAGCGCCTGAGCGCCAGGGGCGCAGGGCCCTTTCAACTTCTTCGCAGGACCCCAGCCGGCGCCAGCGTCGCTGCCGCCCGGGAGCCCCGCGCCCACGCCTCCCTTCGCACTTGGCGGCGCCGACGGGATGCCCGCAGCCATGCTCCCCTACGCTTGCGTCCTGGTGCTTTTGGGAGGTAGGTGTCACCTTCGCCCTACCGGCTTGCTGCCCGAGGTCGGAAGCCAGGAAGCTTGCCGGCTGACCTCCCAGAGGGTCCTTGGGGACTGCTGCGCTGTCTGTGCACCGGGGTCAGCGACGCTGCGGGGTCAGCGACGCTGCGGGGTCAGCGACGCTGCGGGGTCAGCGACGCTGCGGGGTCAGCGACGCTGCGGGGTCAGCGAGGCTGCGGGGTCAGCGACGCTGCGGGGTCAGCGACGCTGCGGGGTCAGCGACGCTGCGTCAGGGCGCCCTTCCCCAGCCTCACTTGGCCGGCACCTGTCACACCTCCGGGCTCTTTCTGTGCCCTGCGCGGGGCAGCTGCGTCATTGCGCCAAGTGCACACCCTTACGCCTTGCTCGCCCCTTGGGGCTTGACCGCCAGGCCCTGGGTGTAGCCCCTGGGGCGGGGCTCCCGAGGGGCTGGGACCCCCAAGATGATCAGGAGGATCTCAGGCCCACTGAAACTCCCATGGCAAGGTGCAAACACACACCAGGTGTTCATACCAGAGCTGCAGGTCCGGTCTTGCCCACAGAATCCTGGGCCTGTGGGCGCTCAGGGCTTGTGTGCTGAAGCAGAGCTGGGGGAGAAGTTAGGGGAGTGCAGTGAGCTGGGCCGAGGCTGGTCCCACAAGCCTGAAGGGACAAGGGGGAGAGGGGCTGGCCAAAGGACCCCAAAACCCCCTGGTAGTGGAGACAGTGCCTTCTCCAGGACCAACTGCTCTCCTGGCTGCTCTTTAGGGGACGGGAAATGGACAGACTCTACAAATGCCAAAGACCATGCTGTGCCCCCGTTGCCCAAGATGACAGTAACAGCCAGCATGGAAGTGTGCCTAGCCCCAGGCTCACCCCAAACACCCTCACATTGGGAAGGGTTACGAATTCTGGCCCTGGAGTCAGAACACCTGGCCCAGAAACCCAGACCAGCTCTGCCAACCAGTGCGGCCTTGGTCAGGCGTGTACCCCAGCTCCTAGTCCGTGTCCTCTGCCGTGTGGGCTCGCCACCCCTCGCCTCTGCCTGGGCTTACAGGAGTGCAGGGAGGCATGGGCATACCGCCTGGCACCGAGGAAGCGTTCAGCCGATGCGGCCAGGTGCCACGGGGCTGTCAGGTCCGCAGGGAGATGCCCAGGTCCCGCCGGGTGCTGTCTACTCCATTCTGGTCAAATGGCAAAGTCGGGTCTGCCTTCAGGAGCCCCCCAATCAGTCCTCTTGCCCCAGTTCCTAAGCATGGTATTTGGAGGGGATGAAAGGGGTCTGAAGGAAGGTCAAGGGGGGTGGGTTGGCAGTTCGATGGGGCACAGATGCACCCAAAGGGTGCCTTTGTCACAGGGCCGGCAGTGCGGGTCACTTGGCCGCCCACCGCAGAGCGTCCCGCGCCGCCAAGCTGGGCCAGCGCAGCCCTGGCCGCTGGCTCGGGAAGGCACGGAGACTCGGAGCAGAGGGGGTGGGGGGCTGGGCAAAGAGGTGAACGAGGGGAGGGAGGAACTGTTATCTGTAAGCTCTCCCCCACCCCCTGTGTGTTCCCTCCCACGGGAATGGGACAGCCAGAGCGGCGGACAGACCACCCCTGAAACCTGCCGCCTCGGTCACGGCGCGGAGCTGCTGTCCTTGGCAGGCCCCGAACTTCTCGTCATGCCAACCAGATCCCCAGACGTTCAGCGTCGCGGCTTGTTCTCAGGGACTCCTGCTACCTCGCTCCTTGGCGGCTTCCGCCAGGGCAAGTCGGACAGATTCCCCAGGAGAGAAGCCAGGAGCGCCCGAGGGGCCCGGGCCAGCGGCGGAGGGGACCCGCTGTCCTGCCTTCAGACACAGGCGCTAGGAGGGGCGCCGACCCCGCCGAGCTGCCTTGGCAGTTGCCTGCCCTGAGCTGGGCACCTTTGCCCACTGAACACTTTTCTACAAAAGTCCTTTCACCACGGGCTGCATCACTAGGCAAGCAGGCCCTTCTGCTCTAGTGAAAAGAAACAGAACCCGGTTAATCCTCAGATGCTTACGTAACGTAGGTACCTGGCCGAGGCCTGCCGGAGCTTCCTGTCTCCAGGTTCCAGAGACTGGAGGAGGCCCCACCGGCCCCACCAGTGAGTTCACGCTGAGTACACACACACCAAGGGTTCTCGGCTTCGGCACTGTTGACTTTTGTGGTGCAGGTGGTTCTCTGCCGTGGGCTGTTCCGCGCATCGCACGACGCTTAGCAGCATCCCTGGTCTCCACCTGCTTCGTGCCAAGTCGACGCCTCCGAGCCGTGACAACCATAAAGGTCTCTAGACACAGCCAGATGTCCCCTGGAGGGAGAACCACGGGTGTGGCTGCATCAAACGCAACTGGTAGCTTTTCCGAAGAATCTGTCAAAATCACCGGGTTGGATGGATTTTGTTATTCTTGCTCTGAGCCATCAGGAAATCAGAGGTCCAGGGGGGCCCCAAGAAAAACAACGGGGCCAGCTCGTTTCCAACTTGGACGTCGATTTTTCCCGTTTGTTCTTGCTCCTCCTTGTCTCTGAGAACGTCCTCTGGCTGGGTGTCTGGAGCCACGCCGTGGGTAAGTGTGGTTAGATGCCGTGGCAGCAACCCTTCCTCAGAACCCCGAGATGCCAGCTGCGGCCGGTGCCAGCGCCCTGGCCCCCCACTTTGGTGCACTCCACAGCAATTTCTGGCTTTTAAAAATTTCCTTACTCGACAATTTATGCCTGAGGGGGAAGACGAGAAACCACGGCTCCGTTTCTTTCCGTCTAATTTCAGTTTTGCTTTCATCTCTAACCATGTATTTCGCCATGGCAAGCTATCGTGTAGAGACAGATGCGCCAGGCGGAATCACAGGCTGGCCCGCAATAAATCAGCTGTCAGCGTGGGGCTCCGCCTGACTCCGAGAACAGAACCTGGGAAGCAAATGAACTTGAGTACACGCGTCCGAAAGTCACAAGCGCGCGGAGATCGGGAATTGCATTAATTACTGAAAACACAGGACGTTCTCGGCAGAAACTTTCTCCGGCTGCCTTGTGCGGCGGGTCCGGGCGGGCGGGTTTCGCTTATCGGGCTGGCCGAGGCTGGAACCTCCAAATTCAGAATCACCAGCTCCAGGCAAACAGAGCAGCTTCCTTGATTTCAAAACCATCTGGACGGGGAGCCGGTTAGAAGTGACTCATGAAGAAATCTGTGATGGACCGGGCGTCGACTCCGCTCACGAAAGCTTTAGGCCAGCGTGGGCCCCGGTACAACCTCCCAGAGAGCACGTCACCACGAGGGCCAGTCTGGGAAGGAGAGGGACAGCCTAGCGCGAAGGAGAGGGGCCCCGCCGGGGAGCGGATTTCAGGGGAACCGAGCCTTCGGGGGGCCTCTGGGAAGCAGCTGTGTTCCCAAGTCCGCACGGGGTGGTCGTGAGTGTTGGCGGGAGCTGGTGGGTCCTTCCTTAGACCAGAATGGTCTTCAGGTGCCTCTGGGCAAAGCCAGCTTCCTGTTCCCCTTGAGTATTCAGAGTTTCCAAAGGACCCTCATACTGTCTGGGACCCAGGAAGTGAGGTACACAGCAGGAGGGGAAGGAAGTGTGTCCCTGAGAAGGTCAGACCTCCCAGCCGTCCAGGGGGCGCTGAGACAGCCGGGGAGGCAGGACCGCCACTGTGCGCCCAGAGGTGGGCTGGGCGTGGCTGAACCTAACGCGCTGTGTGTGCCGGAGGGCGCGTGGCAGGAATTGGGCAGACCGGGTCCCACTCGGGCTTTGTCACCTTCCCGTTCTGCTGTCGGTCACCTGGAAAGGCCTGTTGTCCCCATTAGTGAGTTGGGAATGGTGACATCTCCGGCCTCAAGGGGTGCTGAGGGTTCAATGAAACGCCATGTGGTCAGACTGGACACCAAGAACCTCATGGCCCCTGCGCTGTCACCTGCTCTGGACTCTGCAGACCGGAGGAGGCAGCCCGCTCTCGGATGCCGCCAGAGCAGGTCGCGTGGGGCAGGTCGCTGATGTGCGTCTCCTTCCCTCGGGTGTTCTGTGTGTCCCCGAGAGCATCGTGACTACTGTCATGATACCGAGGGCAGCGACAATAGTCGTTGGCCCCGAGTGAGCCAGGCCACCCTCCCCGGCCAGCACCTTCCTCACCAGAGAGATGGGGTGAGGGTGGCACCCATGGCGGGGGCCGGGCAGGCTGGCAGAGGTGCCCCGGAACGAGAGTGGGGTGGTGCTGAGCGTGTCACTCACTGGTGTAAGGAACAAGTGAGTCCCCCACCCCCTCCCCGGGGCCTCAGGGAAGTCTGAGTCTAACTGGACAATTAAAGCTTAAACGAGCAGTTCATTACCAGTGATTGCTCTGGGCTGGGCGGTAAGGAAGGTCTCCCTGGAAGGTGCTAGGTACCCCGAGACCTGAACATAGGGGAAGAGCGGAGGAGGCACCCGGGGAGGGGGGCTTGCACGTGCCAAGGGCCGATGTGTTCCTGGCCAGTGGGGCTGGCGAGAGGGGGGCGAGGGGTGGACGAGGTCAGAGGTTGGCAGGGCTCCGTCTCGGAGGGCCATGGGGTCACAGCAAGGAGTTGGACTTCCTGTCGAGGGCAGTGGAGGCTCCGCAGGGCAGGAATGGGATGCCTTTAGAAGTAATGAACTCCCCATCACCGGAGGTATCCAAGAACGAACTGGATGCTATGGTGGGTAGCACTGGCTACAGTCGCCTGGATTTGCTTCCAGCCCTGCAAGTGTTCGATTCTTAGGAGCCCCACAACCTCCTAGTGACAAGACACATGCTTTCAACGGTCATTCTCGTCCCCCAGAGTGTGCCCCCCAAACACAGCGCCTGGTAACAATGCTGTGATGGTGACAGGCTGTGCTCAGTGGCATCCCCAGTGTCCCACAGGCTCCGCACGGCACCTGCTCGGCAGGTGGCCAGGTGCTGCTAGGAGCCCCACCTTCCAGCGTCCCTGGGATGGGGAGAGGGCGGACCCCGGCCCCTCCCCAGCCACCTCCCTAGAGGTGGCCCCTCGTCCTCGTCACTTCTAATCG